ATGTGAGGAAGAAACTGAAAGGAAAAGTAGAAAGGGCCAAAACCATTGGGGAAGCTTGGAGACTATTTAAAACTACAATCCTAGAAGCTCAGAAAAAATATATACTGCAGGCAATGTTCCCTCTAAGCTGTGGAATCTTGTGAGCAGAAATTCTACTGTGTGAGCTACTGGCATTAAAGTTGTGAGCAAGTGATTTGGCTGCTGCATCAATTTGTTTGCTCTGGAGCCATCCTTCCCGAGCTAAGACAAAAATGGGTGAGCCGGAGGCTAAAAAAATGTGAGTTAGCTCACATTAACTCAGTTTAGAGGGAACACTGACCACAGGTTAGGAAAGGCACAAATAGGTATAGAAAAAAGCCTGCATGGTTAACAAACAAAGTAATGGAAGCTGTAAAAGGTAAGAAGGATTCCTTTAAGCGGTGGAAAGCTAGTCTCAGTGAGATTGATAAAAAGAAACACAGGCTGTGGCAAATAAAATGCTAGTCTGTCATCAGGCAGGCAAAAAGGGAATATGAGGAGCATATAGCAAAAAACATAAAGACCAACAATAAAACTTTCTTCAAATACACTAGTAGGACCCTTGGATGACCAAGGGGTAAAGGGGGTACTGAAGGATGATAGGGAAATGACTGAGATGCCGAATGCATTTTTTGCCTCTATCTTCATTGTGGAAGATGAGAAGTGCTTGCCCACTCCAGAACCGCTGATTTCGGGAGGGGTGTTGAAAGACCTGAGTCAGATTGAGGTGATGAGAGAGGAGGTCCTAAAATTCATAGACAACTTAAAAACTGATAAATCACTAGGCCCGGATGGCATACATCCGAGAGTTCTGAAAGAACTCAAATGTGAACTTGTGGATCTCCTGACAAAAATATGTAATCTTTCATTAAAATCTGCCTCCATTCCTGAGAACTGGAAGGTAGCTAATGTCACTCCCATCTTTAAAAAGGGTTCCAAAGGAGATCCAGGAAATTACAGGCCAGTCAGTCTGACATCAATACCGGATAAGTTGATGGATACCGTTATTAAGGAACGAATTAGTAGGCTCATTGATGAACAAAAACTACTGAGGCAGACTCAGCATGGGTTCTGTAAGGGAAGATCTTGTCTCACTAACCTGTTAGTGTTCTTTGAGGGAGTGAGAGGAGGTTGTGAGGGAGTGAGTGGGAGGGCTTCTGGTGTCCTGGCCCCACTGCTGGACCTCCTGATGGCACCTGGTATTTTTGACCCGTTTGGTGTAGTGGTTAAGTGCATGGACTCTAATCTGGGAGAGCCGGGTTTGATTCCCCACTCCTCCACTTGCAGCTGCTGGATGACGTTGGGCAAGCCATAGTTCTGGCACAGCTGTTCTTGAAAAAGAGCAGTTTCTGTCAGAGCTCTCTCAGCCCCACCTACCTGACAGGGTGTCTGTTGTGGGGAGGGGGAGGGAAAGGAGTCTGTAAGCTACTCTGAGACTCCAAGTGAAGGGCAGGATATAAATCCAATCTCCTTCTCCTCCTCCTCTTCTTCTTCTTCAAAGCCTTTGTGGCTTCAGAGCCAATTTAAACCACAGAGAATGCCCTAAGATCATTCACTAGTGAAGGGAAGGGCCACATGGTCACTCAGCAGCTAGTTACATGGACATATCAGCGTTTTGCCACTGAAACTAGAACAAGTGCATTAGTTCAAGCTGCAAATCCCATTGTTGCACAGAATTAAATATTTAATTCAAGTGGTCTCATGCACAAACATTTTATTGAACAGGATAAGCCCATACAAATATCCCAATTAAGAACAAAAGAGAAAAAGAGGATGGATTTATTTTTTTGACAATACACAGGATACTAAATGTGTGCCAGATTTTGTTTCAAACTACTCCAACGTGAAAGTTAGCACAGTTTTCCTTTTATGTCATTTTTTTCCTTTTCTCTACTTCATTTATATTATTTATTTTATCTTATTTTCTGTTTAAAACACTTTTAGGCCACCTCTCCACTGATCAGGGTCTAAAAGATGATGCAGATAAAAACATTAAAACATTTGAGCAATTAAAATAGTTAAAATTATATAATAATTCAATTAAAAACGCATAGTCCACCTTCTCACTGAGACACAAGGCGGGCTCCTTATATTGCTTGTGAAAGAATAGATTTAAAGCTGCTAGTGTAGACAACGGCAATTTTACAGATTAATGCTGAGAAGAGAAAAGGTAAATGTCACTTTCTTGAACTTTCTGTTGAGGTGTGCTGTGTTTTCATTATCTGTTTCAGCCTTCCTCTTTGGATAAGGAGTGCCAATCGTGTTATGTTTTACTTTCCGACAAATGCAAAATTTATGTTTTAAAATGTTAAGAATGGTTCTAAAATTGTTATGCACTTATTTCATTTAAAATATCCATCATAGATTAAAATTATCTACACTGCTTTTGTTAAAATATGAATAAAGCAGTTCATTGTTTCCCCAAAATTAAGGGCGGATGGGGGGAGCAATTTTTAATCTTCCCCTCCATAAATAAATACATTTAAAAATCCCATTAATCATTGTTTCAAAATGGCTGATTGTTCTTCTGGCAAACAAACATGTATTGTGTATTTTTAGATGCTTGCTGCCCTAGTTGTGCACCATGGAATCCATCCTCACTGTGGAAAGATCCTTGACTGGTAGATCAAGTATCTTATTGTAGTTCCTTAATTCATTCTGTCTAGAAGAAGATGTCAGCTGTGTTGCAGTGAGGAGAGAATTTCAAAGGCTCCAGTCCCCACCAATAAAAGCAGAGGAATGGCTTTTGAATAGATTTGTCAAGGCAACCCTACTGTTCTGGGACCAGGGAGAGCAGGAAGAACATAAAGGAAGGGTTGCTGTATGAGATTAGAAAGTGAAGTTCACAAAGCATGGCTGATTTTTGTTAGAAACTGTAGATCAGTGAAACCATTGAACTGTATGAAAAATCCACGAAAACATTTTAAATTTTACTGACTAGTATATTTGTTATCATTGTACTAAAGTAGTTGAGATGGTCATATTTCTATATTGCAGACAAAGGGTTTAAGGTGCACGTTTTAGAATTTGCATGCTAGATTTTAATTAACAGCTGAATGTGGAATTGTAACATGGTACTGAATTACAAAAGCCAGTAGAATTTTTATGAAGTATTATGTTCATTTGATATAGGTAAAATTAATATTACTACTGATGGAGCATTACATCAGAGAATTTGAGATAATACAGAAGATTTGCACACAATTAACTAGTTTTATATACAATGTGCCACTTGCCTGTAAGAACTAAGTATTCTCAAATGCAGGGTAAAGATATGAAAAGAGAAGATTTGTTTTATCAGTCATCACAGTGCCTAATAAATTCAAAAATTATGACTTCTATTGGCACTAAAAATAGGCAGCCAATGATACAGGGTGGATAGTTGCAATGAAAAATTGCTATTTTAACAATTCATTCTTTCAATGACAGCAATTAGCACTACACACACAAAGCCATCGAGAGAAGATTTTAATTATTATTCATTCTACCACTAGACCTAAGCCCAATGAAGTAAAAATCTACCCAGGTGACATGATGCTGTCTTAATAACAATCACCTAAAATTCACATAGTGTAAAAATACTGCTTAGATGAGGTTTTTTAACATCCCATCCACATTTTAATTCTCTTGCCATTATTCTTATTCTTTAAGATCTACTTTCTGAGAATGAAATCAAAGATAATGAACTTGTCATGTTCCAACATTTTTGAAGAACAATTAGTTATCGGATTCAAAATAAGGGCTTAATTTTTTTCATAGTGACATGTATTTTATGTTTTGATTTCTCTTAAAGAAACTCTGATCTGATAAAGTGCTTAAGGTTACTATTTTATATATATTTTAGGTTAGAACTGGCAATCTATAATCCAAGGTGATTCTCTATTACCATTAGACATGGCCTATAATATTACAAGGTTAAGTCAAAAATAGTAGGTCTGCCAATATAACAATCCACAGGAAAGTGTTATCCTGTTGACAGTATTGGAATAATCACTAGACATTGTGAACATACTACTATTATTTCCAAATTCCAAAATAGAGGACAAAAAAATTAAACTAGAAAACTGTGCTTTTATTTTACTGGAAAAATACTATTCCTCACCTTATGAATTGTTAGTTTTCATGTCAGCATTGCCATAATTAAAAGTCAAAATGGACACTTCAAAAAGTTTACACTGAGTACAATCTACTTTATGTACCCAAGGACTTGCTGGTGTTTAATTGAGATGCACAAAGTTCCCAGACTGGCTTTTATTTATGAAGTAGGTGCTAAAAGAAATTACAAGTCCTATTAGGCACATGGAGGAAGAATTATGGTTCTTTTATAGTAGTCTTTGTCCCATATTAAACCTGGGACCTATTACCAGTTCTGGGAATCTAAACCACTCCATTCTTTCAGCTTTTTAATGAAAGCTCTAATCTGATGATCCTTTTGTAACACAACAGGTTGTGTCCAGGTATCTGCAGCAAAAAAATGTTTGCTATAAAAAATGCTCAGTGCTAGCAGCTGGGAGGATAGAGGAAGAGGATAATTGAGCTCAATCTCTTCTTTTGCAAAACAATGACATCTGGTATTGCAGGATGGTTGATGCCATTCAAGCTGAAAGTAAAAACACAGGTAGTCCTGGTTCATCAAGAGGTACCTCATGACTATGCATTTATTTACAGTAAAATTGTACCTCTGTACAAGGAGGCATAAAGAACATACATGTCTTTCCTTTAGTGACAGAGCACTAAGTGGCTGAATCAAAGTAGGGACCAAGGAGCTGTGAAGTAACTCCACTAAAAGTATCAAGCTATTTTTCTTATTCAGAAGTCTACACCAATACACCTGTTGCATAATTAAATGGCAATCATTACATTTAGACCATATACTTAATTTTAAAACTGCCTCTAACACACAAACAAATAAATAGTGTGACAAAAAGCAGCATAACAATATAGTCCTAAACAGTTACATCCTTTTTTGCCCATTGAAGTCAATGGCCTTAGAAGGGTGTAATTCCACATAGGACTGCACTGTAAAACATAGGGGAAATGAGATTCATGAACTTGCAGACATTTTGACCCCCAAAATGTAGTCTCACCTCACGCATCCACTCCCGAATAGTTTTTCCAGCTTCCTGATGCCACACATTGTGAACAGAATCTGTTAATGCCACAGCCGTAACTTTGTTTTTTACTTCTGCCTCTCGTTGAATCATCTGAGGAAAATACAAATCCAAAAAACTTTTTAACATGCAAACATTCCTAACTCTGAACTCACTGAACTGCTCAGTCTTTTTTCATTTTTCATGGGGCTTGACAGTTCAAGGATTTAAAGTGATTGTGGGAAAATTGAATATTCCCTGGAGACATCTTTTAAAAGATTTTCAAAAATTCTTATTTCTGTGCTTCAGGTGAAACTGGCCCCCATGGCTAATTATAAGGTACCTCATGTCTATAATCTATTAACTTTCAGTAGCTTGCATATCAGGAACCCTACAGTAATTTTACCTTGTCTACTCTGGCAACATTTGTTCCCTCTTTACATGGAATATAATAACCACACTGCACTTTCGCTCTAGAATCCTTTATTTTTTTACATCCATATAATCACTATTATCAAATGTGGCTAGTATTTTTTGTGTGTCCAATTTACAATTTGTTTCTTGAATTTAAGATTTAGGAACATCAAACTAATGAAATTACAAAAACAAATCACCAATCAAGCAATAAGGGTAGGCAACAAATAAATACAGTTTTAGTGAGACAAAGAGTAAAAGAATTAAAACCTTGTTGAATGTTGAAATAATGAATAATAAACATTAAAAGCAAGAATATTTACAACATATACCTTTCGGAAAATGGTACAAAACACCCTTGCTTTGCACTTTTTCAATGAATACTACTTAATGATCACTGGATGTGCTGTGAAGGCTAACTCAGCATTTCCAAATCACTATATTTTGTTGTGTATGACTACACTTAAGACCTTTAAAATCAATTTAACACTGTAGCTAAACAGAACACAAACACCATCACTATAATGCTAAGTAAACATAGGTATTTTCATGTCACATCAGAGCAGTGGCCCATTTATCTAAACGAGAATCCTTGTGATTATATACAAAGGGTGAGTTTACACAATCAATATATGTGGCTATATATTTGTGGCAATTACCTGGTTTTTGAAGCAGAATCTGTAGGTTCTGCTTCCTCTCTGGATGAGAACATGTGGGTCATGTTCTGACACTGGGTAACACTTGTATTGGATTACTAGATGCTTAGTGTTGATATAGTAGAGTACCAGATGACAGAATACATTAGCCAGCACAGAAAAAAAGAACCAGATCAGTAAATCTGTCACTAATATAAACTACCTTTCCATATCAGGCCAGAGGCCTTCTAATCAAATTCTTTCTGACACTGACCAACCCAATGGTTTGAGGAAGCTCCCATTGGAGACAATGCCAAAAGGATTCACAATGGACTGCCACTATGACTTAAACATCAGCAGATTGTAAGCAGTTTTCAGTCTAGAGAAAAGGGAATCCTACATACTCAACAACCTAAAGACCCTTAAATGTTTCCATTATAACATTTTTCTGTAGGGAGAACTGGCTTTTTGACGAAACACTTGGCAGCAGAACTTGTCCATAAGTTTGTTACTATTCATTTCTTTCTTTTAACAAAGAAAACAGAGGACGCAGTGTTTGTGAATTAGTGTAGCAAAAAGAAAAAGTGCAGACAGTTTTTCATACACTTCACCTAAAGAACCGAAGTGTATTAAAACAGTTTTTAGGCCTAACAGGGCTGTGCTGAAGTTTATTTTTAACTATGCAAAATCAGCACAAGCAGTGCACCACATACTGAAGAAAGATATGGCTTTTTGTGAAAGAGTGGGGAGTCATATGGAATAAAATAGGTGACATTTACGTGGAAAACAGAGATTTGTTCAATCTAGATATGTTTTTTGGGGGAAACCCATAGAACAAGTATAGTAGTCAAATAATGAATGATACAAAGTTGACAAACAACATAGCCCAAGATTTGCAAATACTCAATAATCTCTAGTCATCTTAAATCTACCTTAAGTACATTTCTCTCATGACATCAGAAAAAGGCTTAAAAGCACACTGCATCTTAGGCAAACACAACCACAACCTTATTATATGGCCACTAAACAATGCTCCTATACCCATTTTTAATCTCCTTCCGTTCTACACTGGAAATCCATATTTGCCTGGGCACTAATAGCTATAAAGTGACTCTCCAGCCTTCACTGAAATGTTAAGGAAAATATAAGATTAAAGGATGTATCCAGACTAAATTTTCAAATGGCAGAATGGAACTTTCTCCCCATTCCCACTGCAGCCCACTGATCTATGTAAGATGCTGTTCTGGAGGGGTAGGAACTCTGAGGAATAACATGAGGGGGTCTGCAGTGCGAAGCCGAAATTGGTGGAAATTACCCATCCGGCCTGGATCCAACCCTAAGATTAATAAACACCAGTAGCTGTAAACTCTGTAGAAGAAGAGGACAAGTTCAGCAATGAGCTGAGCAAGTAAAAGGCTGAGCAAGTAAGAGGAGTTACTGAAAATGAAAAGGCATTTCTGGGTTTCAGAAAAGATAGCAGACTCTTGGAATAGTATGGTTCTGCAGCTGGAATCAGAGAGCCATCTGTGGGCAATTCATGAGAGCATGATGGTGGGCTAATATCTAATCTGTTTCTCTCTTCCACCCACTCTCCTCATGGGCCCATTTCTGTTCTCTCCCAATTTTTTTAAATGTAAAGTCTTGTAACTGAATTATTGTCTTTTCTGAACATTGTGAGCCACTTGGGAATCAGGAAGAAACATGCAAATCTAAAAATAAGCATCTTATAATTTCCCTGACCACCAGATATGTCTTGGACTCAGTTGTGCTATTAAAATATTATCGTGATCACAGCCTCTATTGGCACAGTGAACTAACATGGATTCTGAGTTGGCTAAGCTGTTATAGCATTCAACAATATTGTTGATTATATTGTATCCTATACCTACAAGAAGCAGTAGGTGAGAAAAGACATACTTAAATGTATGCAAGTTTTTTTTCTTGAAGAAACTAACACCTTCAATTGACTGTGGCATGGAACTGTATGTGAAAACCGTGTGTGATGAGAGGTCATTTTGTTTGTAGTTCTCCAAACAACGGGAGACTTTGGGTTTAATTAGCCTGTACAGCATTCTTTTAGTTTGGGTGTGTTTGTTTGTAATATAATTTTACTGAACTTTAAAACAGAATAAAGTCTGGTAACAAAATTCAGGACATAATTATATTTTTAAAGTTTGAATATCAGGAGTACATCAAAACCTGTCCTTTCCCTCACCCTTCTTCATACTCTGTCTTCATAGGATAGCCACTGCCTGTCCCAATCAGCCTGTTTCCTGGGCCACAAGGGACAGGATGTCTTCAGTTGTGGCAGGTTGCCTTTTCCCATCCCTCTGTCTGGCATCAAGGTTGTCTGCTTTTCAGCACTCAGTTTAAGATGTTTTTATTTAAGCAAGCTAAATTAAGCAGGTTTTTAAAAATCTACTTAATACTGTACTTATCCCCTTGATGTTTTCATGTTGGGATTATGAACTGTGTGTGTGTAAAGTGCCATCGAGTCACAGCCAATTTATGGTGACCCCAGTTAAGGGGCTTTCAAGGCAAGTGAGAGGCAGAGGTAGTGTGCCATTGCCTTCCTCTGCAGAGGTCGCGATCACACACACAAGTAGCCGCACCATAGGCACAAATGCCAGATGGATTTAAAGGGCACGATCAGACATGAACATCTGGGAAGCGCCCCGCACCCATCAGCAACCTGTTTTGCTCCGCCACAGAAGTGGAGTAAAAAGACACCAAGGAAAGTCTAGTAGCAAACAGGTTGCTACGGGCCACGGACGGACTTTCCCCTGTCTGATTGCTCCAGTGCGCTCTCATGGCATCGGGATGGTCTGAACAGGCCATCCCGACTCCGTGCCATTTCCCCCCCTTCTCAGTATGTGCATCATCACACACTCTATAGGGAGCCCTCAGTGCTGAGATGCAATTCATCGATTCCCCATTTAAGCACATTGGGAACAAATGGCAAAAGAAAAACCCAGACTCACCCGGGGTTGCGTCTGATCATGCAGTGGCGAGCTGTCCCCACAGCTTCAAAGGACTGTGTGTTCACGCAACTGCGGGTCAAATTCCTCCGGAGGAAATAGCCTCACTCCCCCCCCCCACATTAGGTCACGTGTGTGACTGCCACCAGAGTCTTCCTTGGTGGTCTCCTGTTACCCAAAATGGTTAGTCTCCAAAATTTAGTTGGGAATTAACTTAAGGAGACAAGCGAGAGGGGCGTAACTCGGGATCACCACCAACGTTTATGGGGATCCTTCCCTTAGAGAACTCTCAAAATAAACCAGGTGGATATTCAACTGGAAGTGTCTTTATTGAAAAATAATAAAAGGCCAAACAAACATACAAAACACACTAGAATCATGCAAGCTAGCCAAGATGAAAACCTGGGATGAGTGGGGAAAAGCAAGGGAGTTTTAAGGGTGATATTTGCCAATCTTGAAGATTCCACACAGACAGATAGGATAAACTACTGCTTTGTTGGCCCACGCACAAGTGGGGGTGTGAAGGTGATGCCGAAACACATACACAATGAAGATGAGTGCTTGTATTTATAGGAAAAATGTATCCTGAGGCACTTTGACAGGTTTGCCCCCCAAACAATAGTTGGATGTGTTTATCGGAATTTTTCTAGAGACTTGATGGCTCTACCAGAGGGAGATCAAAGAAATAAGTGAAGCAAATGGCTAGGATATAGGTGATAATATTCATTGATAACCCCCTGAATTACAGGATGGAATAAACATCTAGGTGTTATAGATATGCTGATAAGGGTAAAGGTGCCAGCAGGAGGAAGCAGGATCCAGGATGAAAGAGGTTGATTTGAGGTGAGATGCTGTTTTCTTGAGGAACCCATTGTTATAAATTATACATTACTTTAGGGTGAGAGAGGGTTGTTTGCAAGTCAGCCTCTTTATTCACTTCCAAATACTTTCCCAAGTTGTTCTTCCTGGCATCCCTTTTGGGGTCATTTCTGGGCCAGGCCGTGTGTTATACTTATAATATTTGGAGTGATTATATATGAAGGGCATTTATTTTCTCTCTGGGTGTCAACTGCCCATCTGCAGGAGG